TAGCTATTGCAAATCAATTTATGTAAACAGTAAACATATTATGATCGTTATTTGCTTTTACAATGGTGGCATACTTTAAAAATTAGTGTAATTTACTCAAAATTGACCTGGTAAAGACATGGAAGAGGATTACTGAGGATACATTATAATTGCCATAATGCTCAAAAGTGTCATCTCCCCACTGAAACACTTTCACTCCATGTGAAATGAAACATAAATTTGAAAAGTTTAAAGCATTTTTCTCTTTGCATGGTTCACCAGCTTTGCTTCCCTTGGGCTGCTGATCATTGCTGTGTTGCAGTATTTTTTAATAGTGCACAGGATCTTATAACATGTAACATTTGACATGGCTTTTTAATTATAGAAATCATTGAATTATTTTAAGAAATTAAGTGACACTGAAACATTTAAAGTAGAAATTAGTCTTCTCTGGTAATCTTTCTTTTTCTCTTCCCATCCAAAAATCCCATAAAGGTCATAGTCTAGTGAAAGCTTAGTGTGTTTATCCTTTCAAACTTTATGCATCTGAGGCCAGGGAGCTGGCTCAGTGGAATAAGTGCTTTCCTGGCAAAGGCAAAGGCCTGAGTTCAATCCCCGGTTCCACAAAAAAAATAACAACAAAAAAATCTTTATGCATCTATATGTAAATATATCTTACTTATTTCAGCATTGTGTAAATTGTATTATAAGCTGCATCTCCTTTTGTCTTGATTTTTATTAAATATATTATAAAAATAACTGATGTTTATTCCCACAACAGTTTAGTTGATGTAGGGCACTATTAGGAAGGAGAAAAAGATTTAGACAGGTAAGTATTGCTTTTTAACCACTCCATTCAGCTCTACTTAAAATATTATTAGTTTATTTTGGGATATTTCTTTCTTTCTTTTTTTTTTTTTTTGTGGTGCTGGGGATTGAACCTGGGGCCTTGCATATACTAGGGAGGTACTCTACCACTAAACTAAGCCCCTGGTCCATGGTACTGATTCTTCATGTACACAGGAATGTGCTTTAAAAAATAAAAGAAAGTTGTCCATTTCAGAATGGTAGCAGAGTGTAGCTGATGCTGATTGTACATCTATATGTGTCTTATTCATCTTAGGGAATTTGTACCTGTATATGATATATTTTGATTCCTCTTTTTTCCCCAATCCCCTGCCCTCCCTTCAGCTCCTCCCTATTTACAAAGTTTTATTTCCATTTCATCTTTTTTTTTCTTTCTCCCTTCAATTTACCTTTCCCTCTCTTAATTCCTTTTGAAAATTTCTTCCTATTTCGCAATATATTTTTTTTTTTTTTCACAAGACCTATTAAATATTTTGGCTTTTATTTACTCTTTCAGATTCTCACACTAGGTAGACTGTGCAATATTTATATGTGTGTCCAATTTATTTCACTTAGGAGTATGGTCTCAAGGTGCATGTATTTACCTAGAAATATATCAAGTTTTTTGTTCATTGTGGCTGAGCAGTACTCCATTATATTAAAAAAAAAAAACCAACAAAACACATCTTTTTTCTTCATTCCTTGGTGGATGGGCATCTGGATTGTTTCTAGAGTTTAGCTATTATAGTGTGCTGCTGTAAACATGGATGCACATATATTGCTGTGGTGTGATATTTTTAAGCCTTCTGGGAAGATACCCATAGGGGGAATAGCCCTGTCAAATGGGGCCTCCAGTTTTTGGTTTTCTGAAGTTTCACCACACTGATTTCCACAGTGCTTGTACTAATATACACTCCCACCAACAAGGGAAAAGGGTACCTTTTCCCCACAGCCCCATCAGCATTTGTTATTGGTTGATTTCTTGGTGATAGTCATTCTTTCTAGAGTGAGGTGGGATCTTAGTGTTGTTTTAGTTTGTCTCGTTTGAATGACCAATGATGTTAAACATTTTCTCATATTTTTATTTGCTTTTTGCATTTCTTCATCTGCAAAGTATGTATTCCCTCACAGATGCCCAATTTTCGATTGGGTCTTTTTTTTTTTTTTTCATTTTATTTATTTGGTTCAGGGTTTCAATATGCAGTATGGACTCAGTGATCTTCATGTTTTCAGCCTCCCCAGCTCTGGGATTACAGATGTACGCCACCACGCCCCGTCTCAATCACGAGCTCAGCATGCCATGCAGGACCAGAGATTGAACCCGGGTCTCTGTGCTTGCCAAAGCAGGTGCTTAGTCCACTGAGCTATCTCGCCAGCTGGATTGGGTCTTTAAATTCGAAAGCTTTGATTTTTTTCAATCATTTATATGTTCTATATATAAGTTCTTTGTCTGAGGGAAAGTGGCTAAAATTTTTTCCACTCTGTGGGTTGTTTTTATAATCTTTTTGATTTCTTTTGCTGTGCAAAAGCTTCTAATAGGATGAGTTCCCAGTGGTTGATTCTTTGTGATAGTTCCTTTGTGATTGGGATTTTATTCATGGAATCTTTGCCTACTCTTCTGTCTTTAAGAATTCTGCCTATTCTCTCTTTTAGCAGATTTAGTATTTCTGTTT